AACTTCATCCCTACACTGACAAGACTGAGGCAGGAAGATCACTTTGAGCTTGAATCTACCCTGGGCCACACAGTGAATTCAGGACCATCCTAGGATATTAATAGAGACACTACCTCAAAAAAATGGGGCCAGAGAGATGGCTCAGTGAGTCTGCCCAAAAGCCTGTCAACCTGAATTCAATCCCCAGAACCCACTTAAAGGTGGATGGACAGAACCTACTCCACAAAGGTGTCTTCTGACCCCCACATATCCTCCATGGCATGTGCACGCACACACACACACACACAAACACACACACACACAATAATAAATAATAATGTTTTTAAAATTTTTTAATTAAAATAGCAATAAAATAATAATCAATAAAAGTTGTTTTGGAAAAGCTGTTGCCAATAGTAAAAGAAAAACAAAAAGATGCCCCGGAAGGTAGAAGAGGCTTGTGGGGCTGGGCATGGGAGCAGGAAAGGGGTGGGGGAGAGCAGTCGTCTTCAGATGATATCTGCATATTTGGGAAATGTCACAGCGAACCTCAACATCTGTACGATCAGTATGTGTTAATAAAAATAAAAGGGAAAACGATTTCAAAAGAGTGAATACCACGTTTAGTTTGGGTTTCTCAGAAATAAATGTAGACAGAAATAAATGATGCCAGCCATGGTCCCAGGAGATTCGTACTGAGTATCGGAGCTGTCCACTGCCGCAGGCCGTTGGGCCGATCTCAGAGGGATGCTTTCAAGGGTGTAAAATTCTCCAGAGTTCTGGACTAGGCAGGTGACAGAGGGAGGTCTTTCTTCCTGTTTGCTGAAGCTGAGGACCACCCCTAGAGGATTCTGAGGGCCTGGCCTTGAAGAAGGAGCAGCTCCAGCCTCAGGGATGCCACCCTGCAGCAGTGGACCAGCATGCCAAGGGCTGCAGTGTGCAGAGATCTGGGAGTCAGGATGCAGCTGTAGGAAAAAAGTGTGTTTTCCACAGAAATGGAACATAAATTACCAGTAAATTATTTCTAAAAGTCCAAAATTAGTCATAAGTTATTGCCATTTGTGAAAAATGTAGAATTTGTTCTTATTTTACTTTTTAAAAAGTAGTATTTTAAGAAACTAACAAAATCAAGAGTTGAGAAGGACACAGAAAAGGTAACTCTTTTTAAATAGATAATTTATTGAGAATTTCATACATGCATATAAGGTGTTTTGATCAAATCTATGCCCACTCCCTCCCCTCCAGCTCCTCCCATATCTCCCCATCACTTTTTTTTTGATAACTTCATTCACTCTTTCTTCTTTAATTTTTTTAATGGGGGTTTTGGCTACTCTAACATTCCCCCTTCTGAAAAGGGAACCCTAAAATCTTTTAAGGATTAGATAAAAGCTCCCAAATATTTTGGACATTTCTGGCCTTTGGAACAGAGCAGGTTGCTAAGAGGCCCAAAGACATTGTGAGTTCTAGCCAAGAAACTGGCTGTTTTTCTTTGGGGTCTTTTTACCCTAACTGCCTAGCCAATTCCTACCTCCTATTCTTATCACACCATCCTCTCAAGAGGTTACCCAAATTGCCAATAGGGAATAGGGACGCTGACCACTCTGGCTTTGTCCACGCTGAAGTGGGACACAGGGTGAGGCAATTGGAGTACCCCTTCAGTGGGTATATCTAAAAGACTCCCAAAATGCATAACTCTTATTTCTAGGGGGAAAAGAAAGTTCTTGAATCATGAATAGGAGATGTGAAGGAGAAGTAAAGGCAAGAGTAATTAGCATTACAAGTTCTAGACAGGGAACTAGAAAAAAGTCAGAACAGGGCAATTTTCAAATGTTCATATGAGAGTCCATTGGAATTTCTTGACAAGGGCTTCCAAAAGCATCCCTCTGTTGGGTTCCTCCTCATTTTTCTTTTGTCTTCCAAGGCTGGACTCTAGAGTGATGGATTCAGGATTTGCTTTCAGGTATTTTGATAGCTGTTGGATTGGTTAGAATCAGTGTCAGTTCCCTCTCAAAGGCTTCAAGATAGGGGGAGAAAACAAATTTATCCATCATTTTAGAACAATAGCTGGTTGTCTCCCTTAGCTACAGGTGGGCACTACAGTATCAGAGACCAAGATTTGAAGTCTTACATCTGAGCAGCGCTTTCTGGTTAGGAACAAAATCATCAATGAGAATTATCTAAATAAAATTTTATATGGACTTAAGCCTGATATCTGGGAAGTGTAATCCCTTGCACTCTTAAAGAAATATACTGATGACTTTACGCTTTGGTTATACTTTCCTTTTGGGTGTTTAAGACCATACAGTTGGCCCAAATAAAGCAGTTTATTTTTACACTTCAGGGCATTTGAGGATCTGTTCCTTGGGGGTCACATGGGCTTGGGAGGAGCTCCTGATTCCATTCTTTTAACCAGATCCATCTATGTGAAGATAAGTCAAAGGTCCTGCTCGACCATGTCTGGCTTCACTTGGAAGCATGGATGAGATGTTTCCTCTGAGTTGACCCTCCTCTTTGTAGACTGGACATTGGTTCAAGTCCATCTCTTGGGGTCTCCATGGCCTCCCTGAACAAGAGGACAAGTGACTCACCACTGCTACAGGACATTTTGAGAGCTGTTCCATACTCCCCTGGAACTTAGTCGACCTTGGAGGGCAAGGGGCAAAAACTATCCTTTAAGT